ACCAGCTAAGCTAGGCAAGATCAACTAGACAAGTTAAATAAAACATGCAGTTAACAGTCATTGTCCTTTCTGAATTGTGAAGGAAAGTGTTCTTAGGGAGTATTGTACAGGGAAAGTCTAGTCATCTCTTGCAGCCCCAAAAAAGGTAGGATTCTTGTAGGCAGGTCCCAGGAATTCAGTGTTCAGACTTCTGTCCAGGAGAGGATTGCATACCAGCCATATGAATTTCAGTGGGGCAAGTGCCAGGTTCTGTACCCAGAGTTTGGGAGCTCTGGATGCACACACCACCTGGGGAGTGAGAGGTTGGAGAGAAGCCTCACAGAAAGAGATCTGGGGATCCTGGTCTGTGGCAAGTAGAATATGAGTCAGCAGTGCGTCTTTGCAGCCAAAAGGGCTTAACAGCATCCTGAGTGCATCAAGCACAGAACCACCAGCCATTTGAGGGAGGGGATTGTCCTGCTCTGCTCTGCTCTGGTGCAGCCTCACCTTGAATGTTGCGCGCAGTTTTGGGCACCACAGTATAAGAAAGATTTCAAGCCATTGGAGAGAGTCCAAAGGAGGGCTATAAAGAGAGGTCAGCCCAGAGAATAGGAGACTGAGTGAAGGAGACCTCATTGTAGCCTACAGCTTCCTCCCAAGGAGAGGTTGAGGGGCAGGCACTGATCTTCTCTTCAGTGACAGGACCCAAGGGAATGGCATGAAGCTGTGTCAGGGGAGGTTTAGGCTGGATGTTAGGAAACCACCAGAATGTGATTGGACACCAGAACAGGCTCCCCAGGGAAGTGGTCATGGCACCAGGCCTGCCAGAGTTGAGGACATGTTTGAACAATGTTTTCAGACACATGGTGTGATTCTTAGGGCTGTCGTGTGCTGGGCTGGGGGTTGGACTTCAGCAATTCTTGTGGATCCCTTCTAGCTTAGAATATGATTCTATGTGTCATTGTCACTGGTGAGCACAAGAACAGCTCTAGAGTGTTGTAGAGGTGAACTGTTCTTGTATCTATGATTCTTTAATCTGTGAGATTCTTAACTATGTTGCACTTGATTTGGGGAATTGCCTTTCCAGATGCGGTATTGTTAGTTGAAGTTTGTTCTGTTGCTGTGCATGTTGGCAATCCTTAATTAGAGATGGTATTTAGCATTCTCTTCAGTAAGCTCTTTGGCCATTGTGCCTTGGCACTATGGATTTCTCGTTGCACTGGCATTTTTCTTCACATTTTCTTAGCATTTTTCACATTCAGGTTTAACTTTAGCGCATATCTACTAATTTTCACGTACAGCGTGTTCTCAGTTGAAAATCCCTTGGACTGTTCTCTGTAGATATGACTATACTCCTTTGCAGCAAAATACATAATTGTCTAAAGATGGTTGGAGACTAATGTCTAACTTTCAAACTTAATGTAAATGCTGTCCATACCAAAACAAATGCTGTAGCCTAAAGTCTTTTATGCCCACTTTTTATTTTTATAAACCCACCAACCTTTTTGTAGCAGAAATGTCTGAATATATCGATGTCTTCATCAGTAGCAGGGAAATAGTGCAATACCCTTATTTTCCTAATGAAATATTAGACAAACCTTGTCTTATCATTCATGCATAAACATCCCACTCTGTCTTTTTGGATTCTCTTGTGCATTTGCTTCTCCACAGAGGAGTAAGAATTGTCCTTTTGACAGCTGGAATGCTTAGCTAGATGCTAAGAATACACCCCTGTGGGACTGTCTGCAGGCAGGCACACCTGGCAGTTTTGCTCTGGATGGGGAATATTTGCTTCCCTTCTTGGTAGTGGAAAGCATGGTGGTAGCTGGTTGCAGGTCTCATTAGGCCATGCCAGCATGTCCACTACCCTGAGCATTTCACTGTGATTTGATGAAATGTAGGGCTGTCACCTTTCTGGCAAGGCACAAGGGTGAGGTGCTGCTGTCTCACGGCTACCAGCCCGGGTTCCCAAATTGCAAGCACGGCCAGCTGAACTGTAAAAATGAGTGCACAATGCTCTGGGTCATTTTGATCTTTCCCTCTGTGTGCTATTCTCTCCCTGTCCATTTTCTTGTGTGTATGTGAGGCTGTTGAGAGATGTGTGTTTTGATGAGCGACAGAGTCCTCAGAGGAAGCTGCTCTGACTTTGTTTTGTAATGACCTGTAAGGCAAATTACTGAGTGTATTGTTCCTTGGTAGTTATAAAGAAGGGAAAGGTAGAACATGATCGGGGTACTGGTATTTGTTACTGGTACTCTTAATTAATGTGTGTGCTGTGGTTTTTGCTGAAGGCGTTTGAACTGAAAGGAGGGTTTGAATGCTGACGTATCAGTTTATCCAGTTAGGGGTTTAAGGTACAGAGATAAATACAGTTGTAGCTTGCTTGCAAATGTCATGAGTCTCATGGTGAGTGGAGAACAAAGGTAAAAAACCCATGTGGTAGAGAAGTATGGCTTGTCTCAGACTAGCTGGTGAGGACTCTTACCTGCAGGTAGAGCAGTGCTTTGCCTCCATCGGCAGCTCTGCTGGATCTGGCAGCAGCGTGGTGGTGACATCACCCTGAGGAGAGGGAGAAGGTTAGGCAGAGTCACTGGGGCTGCTTGTTCTGCACAGGCACTTGGGAAAGGGTTTCTTTCGTATGCTGTCTAATAGATTCAGCCTTTTATTTTATAATATAATTAAATAACCAAGCCTTTGTGAGGCTCCTGAATTCCTTTAATTTAGCGGCAGCACAGAAGCTGAATTCAGAGTATTCATGGGCCTGTACTATCTCCCTGACTACTTGCCAGGTCTATTCATGCTGTTCTGAGTGCAGGAAGTTCTCACATTCATTCAGGGTTGGGGGGTTGGGGGTGGAAGGCGTTGTGTGGTTGGCTTTTTTTTTTTTGTAGGCAAGGGAAATGGTTATAAGGAAAATTCTTCAGCAATTCCCTGGGACCAATTTACCAACTGTTAATCTGTGAGTAAATAATGGGAACAGTTTATACACTTGGCAGCTCTTTAGAAAGAGCAAAGAATCATGAGAAGTTCACAGTCCACAGCCCCAAGATAGCTGAATCCTTTGGTATGTTCGGATTTGTCTGAACAGAGATAGATTAGTATTTTTTTGCTAGCAGATGTAATCTTAGATATTCTGAAGTGCTGAGTTCGATGAGGAAAACTTTTTGCTGGCATGTGGTATCTGTCTGCTTATATTTAACTTGCTTAAGCTCAGTTATTCTTTTTCTATTTGAGTTTTAAGGTTGTAGCCAATATGTTTGTTGTCCATAGACTATTACTCATGCTCTCTCAAGGAGGGGATAAGGAAGTGTATTTACTGCCTGGTGAGAAGAAAGCTGGTAACAGTGGGCTTTCCTTTGGTTCAGGGAAGGGATGAGAGAAAGAGGGAGAGCGAGGGGCCAAGGAGGTGAAAGAAAACTGGGAAAACAATGACTAAATCAAGGCTAGTAGTCAAAACTACAAAATGCTCTGCAAACTTAAGCATTCATTTACTTCTCAGGAACTGTCTCACATCTCTGATCTGTGGTATCTAATCTTTATAGCTAGATACCACAGTGATAGACATTACTGACACGTGTAAAAGGCATTGGAAAAGGGAAAGTGATGTATTGGTGTGGATTTTCTGCTGCTACAGCTGAGGCATTGAGGAAAGCACACAACTATCCAGGATGTGTATAGAAGGATTTGGGCAAGTTGCCATTTTCACCAAAACATACAGAATTGGAGTGGTACACACTTTCCTGGTATTTGCTTGTTAGCATGTCTCTGGATTGACTGTTGCAAAATGGAGAGAGATGTGCTTGATGGAACAGTGGGATGGATATACACGATTTGGTACCTGAATGGCAAGAAAGTCCATAGATGAAAAGCTTTTTATGAAGGCAGGGTGGGCTACATCTAACATATTTCATCTGGAAATGGAATTGGAGGTGGGGAACCCAAAGTTTGTGTGTTTGGCTCATAACATGTGAAGTATGCATTTTTTATGCTGGGGTATAAAACCTGTAAGCCAATGTATCCTTAAAAAGAATGTTTTAAACTTGGATTACCTTAAAGCTAAGTAATCACCTTTATAAGGTTCCATCTTTATTGGAATCCTGGCATGTGTAGGACTTCAGGATTGTCCTGCTGTGAGACTTAATTTGAAACTCTGATGATTTTTGTAGAACAGCTTCCTGTTCTTCTGAAAACTGCAATGTGTTTGTGAGTTTGTGTTCCTTTGTAGATTCTATAAGGAACAGCATTGTGCTTATACTCTGTCAGTGAGTATCTTGGCTGTTTCTGTCCTTTTCTCTTTCCATGCTCCATCCTGCAAGTTTTAGTCTGAATTGCTTTTCATGAGATTGCAAATCTTGTGAATGAAGTAGTTTTCCCAAGGTGTCATTGGTTCTGGATCATGGTCTGTTAAGAGCATTTACATATGGATTTTGTCACCTTTTTACACATGTGCAACTGAGAAAGTGATGCCAAGTGTCTGGATTGATCTAGGAAAAAGAAGGAAGCAAGGAGGGAAAAATTGTTGCTGGTAGATAGCCTCTTCATATTGCTTTTTTCCCCCCAGTTTTCAACCTATGAATTCTGTTTTCTATTTTAAATACTGGTGCTGAATATCCATGGCAGGTTTCCTTTTATAACAGCTTACCATTTTAAGCTCTAAAAGTACTGTGGCAGCTTTACCTTTTACAGATTTATATTAAAAACCTTCTGCTTGCCTGTATGTATAAAATTACACATTATGTATAAGGTTTTAATCTCTTTGAAGTTAGAAGGTCACTACTTAAACTTACTTTGTGAACCCAATTTCATAACAAGACTAAAAAGTACATGCAAGCACAGATTTGCTTCAAGGTTGGTTTTCTGGTATTTTTTCAACACCTTATGAAAGTCTTGAGCGAAATGAAGATAAATAGCTTCAGCTATTCCACACATTCTTGAGTACTGGAGGAGGGGAGTGTGTCAGTTGAGGGGAGGTTTACAAGTAAAACTCCTGTTGCCAGGCAGCCCAAGAAGTGCGTTGGCATCACTTGGAAATGAGTGCAAATTATGGGTTGCTGTTGGAACCGAGTGGACAATGGAGATAAAAGAGTGTGAAGAGAAACTTGACTGTTTTGAAATTAGCTTGTTTCACCTTCCAGAATACAGGTTATTAAAGTTAAGGTAACTATCTTTGAAAGTCTGACAGTACTGTAAGAGGAGAGCTGGGCTACACAGAAAGTGTAATTTCTATCCTTTTTAAATTACCATAGCATGTTCTGGTGAGTTGATGATTACTGTAACAAAATGGGGTGTTAGAACATGTAGTTATGCTATTGCTTCTCCTAGCTGCTAGCGCTGTGAGTAGAGGAATGCTCAAGAGCCTGTTCTGTTGTAATGCCAAGTCTTTTGTTTAGCTTCTGGCTTATATAAGCAAACCGAGCACTTGTCACAAGATGCTTTGTGCAAGGTACTATTACTATCACCTGAAAGTACTGGTCTCCATGGGATTGTGTTGTTCCCTCTGCCTTTATAACCTGGTATTGGGGACCTATCACACAGGTAAACGAGGAGTGAAAAGCTTATTACTGTGTGGATGAGCTTTACATATGAAAACCATCTTGGTTTTCATTGAAAGTCACTGCTTGTGTGTCTCTTTTCCCCACCATTAGTGGTGTAGGATTTATTCTGTTGAAACATATGCCTTTGTAAGATGAAATTTGTCAGCGTGTGTGCCTTTAGCGGAATGTTGTAAGATGGTAATTAATGCTGCAGCCATCATGTGAATGGAAAGTATTTCTGCAAACATGCCTATATATCTAGATACTTAAGAGGATAAAATTAGGCTTTGGAATTTTCTCTGGTCCTGTTCAACTTAGCTAGTTCTTAGACATTTTATTATGGTGATAACAGTTATCTGTCATTGGTTCACTTTTAATGTCAACATTGCACTGTCTTTTGCAAGAGCATGACGTGCAAGCTAGTAGCAAACCTAGGGCAAACCAGGACAATTAGATGGAGGTTATGTTGTTATGTTCTGTCACCTGGCAAGCTTCTGTCCTTTTTTTCAGTTTCCTTGTGAATTTAAAAACGGTTGTAGCACCTTTCTTGAAAATATTTGAATATTTCTACTTTAAACCCTAGAAGTTGGAAAGTACAGGCATATATTCATTCACAGGTCTTTGGTATTTGCATTTTATGATGACTGTAAAAGACACTTGATTTATCTGAGACTCAAAATTCCTCTAGGATTCTTATGTCCATACAAGATAAAACTGTATAATCTTACTTATACAGCACTACCATGTTCTTCTTTTGCCTCACATAATTTTGCGAGGAAAAAACTGTGAAGGCAACTATAGTGGATACACCATGTTGTTTGCTTTTATTTATTTTAATTATGCTTAACTTTTTCTTAAGTATTTTGAGATGAAAAATTGTTTAGGAGGGCTTCGTGGCACCTGGTCCTTTTTCCTCCATATTCCTGATAATGGTGAGAAACATTTTAGTGCACACATTTCTTCCATAGTTTTGATGTTAAAACTATGGGAGGGAAATGGGGAATTACATTTTTCCTCTTCCCCTTCATTTCTGTAGCATACCCAGAAACCTGTGGATATTTGTCCTTCTATTGGGAGTTCTCTCTTAGAAGCTGGATGCTTGCAAGGTGGAGATCTTTCTTCTTGGTATGACTCTAACATTATGGAAGGTCACAAGAGCAGCAGCCTTTTAGTTTCCACAGTGCGTGTGTGTAAAGAAAGTTCCTTTCTTTAGAGGAAACCTTCCAACAAATTGGCTGTGCATGATGCTGTGCTGTCATACCATTATCTAAAGAAGTCAAACGCTCTTCCATTTTAAGTGACTGGGCAGTCCCAGAGCTTCATTCAGGTTCTGAGTACCAAAACAGATGTTTCATGTGGCCCTGATGTTGGAACATACAAAAGTTTGCATTAGCAAATTGCTGGGCAAAATTATCCAAAAGTTCAGTAGCTACAGATCCCTTGTTTTCCTGTTAACTTGTAATTAATCCAGCTGCAAGAAATCATTGGAGCACTTTTCCAGAAACCTAATTTGCTGAGGAATCAAGTTGTTGCTTGAAGGACTCGGCTCTTCCTTGTTTTTTTTTCACTTTTCCATTAAAAAAAAAAAATAAAAAAATTTGAAGATTCTAAATGTAAATTCTAGAATAAAAAATGGAGGGGCTGGGAGGGGTTTGAAAGGCAGAAAATATTTGTGGTGGTCCTTAATAAAATGTAAAGAAAACAAGTTGTCTTTTAACATCTTTAGCTTTTAAGCTTTGTTTCTGTCTGGCTTCATAACAGGGTAGGTAACCACTACCAATCAAGTGTGTTGCTCTAATTTTTGTACACTTAAACCTTGATCATACTTTATAGCTTTGCTTTCAGGCTCAGATGCAGTTATGTGCATGACTGAGATAAAATATTTGTGATTTTTTGAGTTTTACCCCAGCTTTTTTTTGTCTGTGTATACTTATTACTGCAGAAAAAGAATGCGATCATGGGCAAGGGCGTTGTTGTTGTCGTGGTTTTAGGGGCAGGCAGTGGGGCATGCAGGGAGCAAATACAGAATTTCCCGAGGGAGGAGGCAGCACACAGTGCTCTGCCAACTCCATTGCCCTATTGCCTGTTAAAAATTACTAATTATTAATTAGTGTGGAAGAACAGATAATCCTTTTTTTGTTAATAAAGCAGATTTGTTTGCAGGAAGGGAAGGGTTCTCGATTGGTGGTTTATAGTATGCTGTCCTGTACCACTGTTCTTGGAGGCTCTAGGGAGTCAGTCACTGCTTGCACAGCGTCAGGCAGCTCTGACCCTTGAGTGCCAAAGGGCTGGGCTGGGCTGAATGAAAATGAAATCTGTTTCCTTTCAAGGGATTTCTGTACAGAAGAAAGTGCTCTATTACATTTCTTCTAGAAAGCTTCCTGAAGCAGCCACTGTCGGAAGTTCTGAGTTTAGGTGGGGCTTTGTGCTGAACTCTTCTGAATGTGCATTAAAAGAACACCCTGTCTTGTTCTTACTAGGCTGCTGGGCATGGTTAAGTAAAATGCATGTTGTCTGTGCCTTGAAAGGATAGTTATTGTTTGCTGTCTCTTCCAGCCCGTAGAAATGAGTGGGAAAGGGATAAAACTTTTGAAAGGGGGAATCTTGCTTTGGCTGAATGGGTGGGTGTATTTAGACGTGATGGCTTGGTTTTTACTTGTTTTTACTTCTGTGCTCTGTTAACATAGTCTTTTTCACTCATTCCTATGGAGTAAAATGCAGTACTTTTTTTCAGGATTGCCTGATCTTTATAATGGATGAATTTTGTTTTGGCGAGTATTTTTTTTTATTTGTTTTTTAATTTCTTACCTTCATTTGCAGTAACAAGACCTTGCCTTAACATCACCTTGCCTTAACATCATAAAAATGCCAATAAATGATGCCATTTGAGCTTGGTGCAGTTTGCATGGGCCTAATGTTGTTCACCAGTACACGCCACTTTGAGGATTGCCTTCCATAGGCAAGTTCTTCCATCTTAATGTAGGACACTGAGTCTGAAAAACGTGGTTTTGGGGGTCAGATCTGTAGCTTTCAGGAGGCAGTGCTTCTTATGATCTCCTTGGCTACAGAAAATTCTTAAGATAAATAAATGTGTCAGTACCATTTACCTGTGTCTCTGGGCATCTTTTGTCCATCTGAACAAGGATTATTGCTGTCTAGCTGTGCACTCTCGTGTGTGGGCATTTTGTTTTTAAAAAGATTTGGTGTAACAGTCACTGCAAAATCAGAAGGTACTGATGTGACATTGTTTTATAACATCTTAAAAAACTGCTTTTTGAAATATCTAAAATAAGGAGTTTGCCTGTATCTCTAACATTTGTTGAATTCTCACAGACTTCTAACTTAAGCCTTCTTAAAAATAAATGTGAAAATATTTACATGATACCTTTTCCAGTGACTGTCCTCCCACGACTCCTGCTGCATACCATCCAATCTACCTATTAAAGGATATAGTTAGTAATATGCTGAACCTCTGCTGTTATTCTATATTAGGTATGATTATAATGTAATTTTAGCACTAATAAATAAAAAAACCTTGAAACTCTAGTCTCTTTCACCTTTGTTTATTTTAATGTCTGGATGCAGAAAAAAAGACAAGTTGTGTGCAGTTCAGTGACCAACTTTTGTATGGATACAAAGGGACAAAGCTAAAACACAAAATGCACATGTCTTGTTATTTGAAGTTTGAGACCTTTCTGTCAATTAGGCTTTTTTTGTATAGGAATCATAAAATGTGTATAAAGGCTGCACATATAAAACTTTCTTGCCAAAACAAAGGGAACTACATCAGTATGATAGGTAAAAGAAACTTGTCTTCCTATTTTTAAGAAACTTACAAGGGGAAAGTTGATCTTCTCTTTCATTTTCTCTTCCTGGTGCTGGGCTGTCAGCTTGCAGAGATTTGCTAATTATGTAATTGGTATTTTGAATTACGTTTAACTCTGCAGAAAGCTTTCTTACTGTAGAGTATTATATCGTGTGTTACAGCTAGGGAAAACATTTTCAGAACTTAAAAATGACTAGCGAAAATTGTCCACCAGTGATGTGGAAGAATTTGAAATCAAGAAGACTGCACTTTTGAACACAAAAATTGAAGGTTAAGCCTGGATGCCCTAACTTGCATAACTTTTAAAGACTTAAGCTTCAGGCATAAACAAAACAATCCGTCCAAAGCACACTTGGTGCAGATTAGAGACTTGCTTGGGGGTAACTTGCACAGTAGTGGTAGTATCATGTTGACATGTCTCTGGGCGTCCCCTGGATCCAAAGGTCAGTAGGAAGGATTCAAAAGTAGGAGAAATTAGTGGTACAACACCATGAAGATGGTACAATATCAGGAGGTTGATTAAAACTGAGCGTTTTGCACTGGTACTTGTTTCTTTTTCCACTCAGTTTATCCACTGTGCAGGTGGCCAGAATGTTTGGAGGGAAGTCCTTTTGCTTTGTGGAGTGTGATTGTTTTTCCTGGAGGACCCTTTGAGGAAAAAGGTTCTTGTGGCCTGCCTAGCTGTCAAAGCAAGCAGAGCACCAGATAGAAAAACTGCAGTGGGAAGAAGTAAACTCTTATATCTTTCAGAGTTCCATATTTCTTCTAGGTGTCTGGGTGGTATTTGTGGCATGGGG